TGTGGCAACTCAAACCTCTGTACTTCTGTGCAACGTCATATGCTGAAAACTACTCAGTCCACTTCTACATTGATCCATTTCTTGTTAAGTAAATAAAATACACTGATTAAACACCAGTTCCTAGTATTGCGTAATGTAGAAATCATGTATTTTCGTGATGTAACTATCACTGGGTATATTTCTTGCATTAAAAAGCAAATTAAGAGGAGTGCTGAACTCTATGACCAAGGAATTTTAAGATTTGTTGGTATACGGTAAAGGAATCTGAAAGCCTGGTTAACATCAATCTTGTGTTCTGTATCCACAAGATGAGATAGAATAGCTCTGCGAATAGATTTTGTTCGTCCTTTACTTAACCAACGACTCAGGGGGATGTTCGGAAATCCGACGAGAAACACGCCTAATTGTACGACCTGTGAAACTGGTTCCACAGGAGCAGTTAAACTGGTAGATACACATGGAAGGGGCGAAATTAGGCAGTTTATCTTACACTCCCGAACTGAAAAGAGGAGTGGTTTTGAAGACACAGTGTAATTCAGTAACAGGGAATGCTCTTTTTGTACCGCATTTCTAAGGCGTTGTGTTAGTATCTCGTTGATGTTATCCCTAAGGATTTGTTGAAAGGATAAAAGATTTAAATGTGGACAATAAATTCATGATATCATTTGACGTATCTATCTTATTCACCAGTATACCACTTATGGAAACAGTGGACTTTGTATGCGAACGACTTATAAGATGAAACATCGATGTTGGCATTCCTATAACTTTTATGAAAGAGCTTCTCTTGAAATGCACAATGAATGTCCACTTTTTATTTGGTAAGGAACTATACAGACAAATCAACGATGTGGCAATAAGGTCACCACGAGGACCCATTCTAGTCAACATTTTCCTTGCGAAACTAGAAAATGGGCCTTTAAAAGATGTTACTGATGAACTTGAATTCTACTGTCGGTACATGGATGATACATTTCTGATGATGAAAAATGAGGAGGAAGCAAAGAAAATCCTGGATAAATTTGACGAGGTTTATCCTGAGAAAGAAAAAGACCCTAGTGTTTCATTCCTAGACGTCCTTATGACCAGATAAGAGGATGGTACAATAAGAAGAAGTCTATATAGAAAACCCACATCAACGGGTCAGTATACTCATTTTTTCCAGCTACGTGCCATTAAAATACAAACGCAATCTGATAAAGTGCTTGGTTCACAGAGCAACAGCAATTTGCTCGGATGAATGTCCTGATGAGGAACTTAATAATATTAAGCGGTTGCTGAGTCAAAACGGTTATCCGGAAAAGTTTATTAATAAGAATATGAATCTAAAATCAAAGCAGTCCAAGGTACCAATAGTCCCTAAAATGGCCTTATTCTTACAAGTTCAGTTCCTTGGGGATAACATCAACGAGATACTAACACAACGCCTTAGAAATGCGGTACAAAAAGAGCATTCCCTGTTACTGAATTACACTGTGTCTTCAAAACCACTCCTCTTTTCAGTTCGGGAGTGTAAGATAGACTGCCTAATTTCGCCCCTTCCATGTGTATCTACCAGTTTAACTGCTCCTGTGGAACCAGTTTCACAGGCCGTACAATTAGGCGTGTTTCTCGTCGGATTTCCGAACATCCCCCTGAGTCGTTGGTTAAGTAAAGGACGAACAAAATCTATTCGCAGAGCTATTCTATCTCATCTTGTGGATACAGAACACAAGATTGATGTTAACCAGGCTTTCAGATTCCTTTACCGTATACCAACAAATCGTAATTTCACCTTAAGAGTTCGATTACGAAATATTGCTGAGGCTGTTGAGATCCATATTAAGAAGACTGATTTGGACGTTCAAATGAAGTTAAGGAATTATAAGTTCATTCACTAGTAGAGTATGAATATTTTTTGTGTCAGATTTGTATTGGAATCTCTTATCTGAACAGATAGTGTTAAAATGTTTTTCAAGTTATTTCATATATTCCATTGATTGATTAGATCGGACAGAAATGCTCACTTTGGGCTTATGTCTCAAAGAGAACACCATCACTTACTGAGAATGTAAGCATATTCAACAGATTAGTGCCATTTGGGTGGAAGTAGTGCTTCCTGGGTTCCATTACCAGTAACCAAGATAGTACTACAAGTTTAACAACCTTTAAATAGATTTCAACAGAATTAGGTACTGAATTGAATTCTTGATTTTCCCGTCGATTGATTGGACCGAAGTGCTCGGTCTCAGGTTGACATGTCGGCTTCTTGTGCAGATGCTTCGACGATGTCTGGGGATTTGATTTGTATACAATTGGTGGATGGTGGCTAGCAGTGGAATCCAGGATGCGCATTTCGTCCTAATTGGGACTCGTCAGCTGGATATACCTGCATTTCTCAGTGAGTGATGATGTTCCCACCGAGGCTCAAACCCAGTGCTCATTTTCAAACGCCAAAGCGTTATCCACTAGGTACAGAATACTTATTTCTCTCTAATACATATTACTAACGCATTAGAGAAAGATAAAATGTACTTTATCAAATCAACAATCGGTAATATTATATATTATTATTATTCTCTTGAGTTCCGAGTGAAACATAGCGATCAGCAACGCATCTCCAGTTGGTTGTATCTTCTGTGGTCCTCTTCAGATTGAACCAAGATCTCCCGTAATCTCTCATCTCCTCGTCACACGATCTCCTCCATGTCACCCTCGCACTGACGACCCACTTGTCACCTCCCACTTGGATTCCACTCGAGCGATGTCATTCGACGGTCTCCCCACAGTTTCTTGTTACTTATTCTTTCTGGCCCCCTGCCCATCTGATCTTCAGTATGGAGCGAAAGTGGTAGCTGTTGGTGAAGGTCTGCAACCTGTTGGAAATGGTTTTCGTGACACGTCCGCCAAGTTTCTGACTCATATTAAAGGACCAACTTGACATAGGTATTGAAAATCCGAATCTTATTCCTTATGCTGAGATAGTGCAGAATATTTCCAAGTTGGATAAAGGCGTATCTTTCCTTTCCGATTCTGACTGTCTAGGTTTGACATCTTCATCCGTTCCACTAGCTGTAGTTGAAACGACGCTTCCTAGATAAGTGAAGGAAGTGACATCTGTCAAATCTCTCCCGTTGATGGTGATTGTTGCTGGTTGTTGTGAAGTATGAATTCTGTGTCATAATAGTTTATTACTCTGATTTAAAGAAATAATAGAGTCAAAGTCACTTCAAGTTGGCAGAAGAAGCATCAAAGTTAGGACTTCAGGTGAACATAGTGAAAACAGAGGTGATGAAGATTCCTAGCCAACACCACCAACAGCAACAACAACAACAGACAACAATCAGCCTGCATAAATGAGAGGAACGTGAAAGAAACAGCCTCCTTCACCTACCTACCTGGGAAGCATCGTTTCAACTACAGGTGGACGGAACTGACGAGGACATCAAAGCAAGGATCGGGAAAGCAAGACAAGCTTTCATTACTCTCAAGTCTGTGTGGAAGTCAAGAGCACCCAGAATCAAAAATAAGATCCGGATTTTCAAATCTAATGTTAAGTCAGTCAGTGCTACTATACGGATCAGAGACTTGGCGCGTCATAAAGAGCACCTCGAACAAAATACAGACCTTCATTTACAGTTGTCTTCGCTCAATACTACTCAAGATCAGATGGCCGGTCAGAAAAGATCAGAAACAGAGATCTCTGGGAGTGAACTAATCAGGAACCGACTGTGAAACAAATAAGCAGGAAGAAATGGAGATGGATTGGCTGGCCATACTCTGAGAAAACACGGCATCAAGTGACATCACTAGACAAGCCATTGCTCGAGTGGAACCCGAAAGACAAGCGGCGAGTTGGTCGTCAGTGCGATGGTGGGGTGACTTGGAGGAGGTCATGTGAAGAGGAGGTGAAAGCGTGTGGGCAGACTTAGAGACAGGTGAAAACTCTAGCAGAGGACCGAAGGCAATGGAGACGCGCGGCTGAAGCCTTATGTTCCTTTAGAAATTAAAGGAAATAATAATAATAAAGTCACTACAACAAGCTGTAGTTACTTTCCAAGATAAATACGCTTGGGAAGTGTATTTGTAGGAGAATAATTTCTCTGGGAATCATTCTATGAACAATCTATTTACGGTAATGATCCTTATCTGAATATTTCAACTAATTTGGCAATTACTACCCTTTTACTCTCACCCACATATCATTATTCCAATATTAGCATATCTCCTTTGGACATAATCTTCACTAGTTGGACCTTTATTTCTAATGATTCTCCTTGACATTGCTGAGTACCATAGGTTCTAATTCTCCAAACCGTATTTTCATATAGTTGGAATATAAATGCCTACTGTGTATGACTCGGAGAAAGTTTACAGACTATACAGACAGATGAACGTATCGATTGTGTTCAACTTGTAATACTGGGACTTTGGTTATTACAGTCACTTTCAAGATGAATTTTAATACTGCTCTTGGGAACCAGTTGAAAAGGGAAGAAAATAGGAGGATGAATAATATTTGAAATTATTCAGGAATGCTGAAGTGGATGTTTATATTACTCACAATGTGTAATAATAGTATCTTCATCAAAAATATATATATTTAGTCATAAACTACTCATAAACATAGGAAATTATATGGTGATGATCACTGAATATCTTAAAATCAACAAGAAAAATTCACGTCTTAACAGACTTAAAGATTGCCAATAGCTTGAAAATTTCATCCAATAATATTTTTTTTTCCCAACAAGGAGAATCAGTCAGTCTGTGACAGAGGCAGCTGAACGAAATTTATGAACAACGATATTATTCTAGTGTCTGTAAAAAGAAAAAAAATATGCATTAATCGGTAATGAACGCCTATAATTGGTTGTACGTGTGTTATTTCAGCCCATTGTCTGGTCGATCGTGTCAAAATGTGATTGGTGAAAAGCCAATTGGTTAAATTTAGTTCACCAATGTCCAAGCGTCCGATTGATCACATGATTATCAATACAAAAATAAGACTTCTGATTATTTTTTTTATCAATCTATTAAACATTGAATTCCCTGTATTCTATGAACATGTGAAAGATAAGAAGGACTACTTACAGTAATAAGACTATACTACAGCGCTATCACGGTTACAATACATATATATATGATATGGTATTCATCATCAGTTAACCAGTTAACAGTGAAGAAATGGAGAGAATTCTAGTTAGCTATGGACATAAAAACGATTGGATTAGTAATTTCAATGTAGAATCAATTTTAAATACAGTAGTCTCAAATATTCCCGGTTCTTTCTGGTGGTACGACTCCTACTTGATAGATTCTCCTGAAAACTTTAAACATTATTATTGGCTTAAAGTTCCTGAATACTCACTGTCTGATAACAATGGACTCTATTGTGAAAGAAAACATTACACTGAAAGATTTTTGGCTAGACTAATAGTACTTCGTTATAATGAATCAATAAATATTTCAGGTGTCACAATCACTCCACAAAGTCATAATCAAGTAATATGTATTGACAGTTATGCGCCTAAGAATGGTGGACACTGGAAAGTTTTATGGAGTGATTTACAACGTGAACTTCAAATATACATCCCATTGGAAGATAATAACTCGTATAGAGTTACTCGACTGTTATCAAATGAACCAATACAACTGGGGCCTTGCTTACGTCTTATTGGTTGGGTATCAGGTCATACATATTCCCCTGAAACTAAGGATGATACTACTCCAGGCTCTCAAACTTACAACTGGTGTTTTCTTATACCTATAGACTTAGATCATCTTCATAATGTCACAGTATTTTTATTACCATCAGAAATAAAGGATTTAAGCAATACACCACCTACGCAACACTTGGAATCTATACGATTGGTGGGTGGAATTGACGAGAATATAAACCATTTAAACACTAGTTTGCGTGAATTATTCACAGCAATAAAACGTGCTAATTTTACGTATTATAAACAATCATCATATACTGAAACATTTAACAACAATAACACAAACACCAAGAAAGACAACAATTTTTTTACAATTTCGAGTCTTTTTGAATTTGGGACTCGATTAACTATAATTACACAACCTTATAACACTACAAAAAAACAATCCTACATGCATTCTATGGGAATAGATTCTGTCTGTTCGCTTGATTCATTAAATTATCGATGTCGAACTGCGGACAGTCGAAAATTCAGTCAATATACATACATTAAAACACAGAACGGCAGACCAGTATATAAGAATGGAGCTTTTATAGAACAGGCAAAGAAAACTGCCAAAGAAGAACAAAGTGAATATACCAATGGTGAAAAACATTCTCATAATCAACCATTTATTATTGATCATATTAATAATATGGACTTAAATCAACGACATTTCGTGTCCTGTATGCAGCATCATGTGACAATAAGTTGTGATACTAATGCATTATCATTAGAAAAAGATGTAAATGGAATAGAAACAAAGTGTTTCACTGATGTATACCCGGTAAGTGAGTTGTTCTTTTTATCGTTTGTTGCTGCTGCTGTTGTTGTTGTTGTTTTTATTCTTATTTTACATTTAGTATGCTTATTTAATGTAACTGAAGGTTAACTGTAACTCGTACAAAGTCTAGTAAGCTCTAAATTAGCAACTTTATCCTTAACTAACTATTCGTACTTTTATTCAAATTTGAATGTTTCCCTTTCGTCATTGTTTATGTCAAGTGATTGTGTTGATAGTTGGCGTAGTTGGTAATTAAACTTTGGAAGACTCTAGAGAACATTATGTTAATCAAAGTTAACTTCAATTGTCTCTAGATCAGTTTAAATGTATTGTCTCCTGACTGAAGTCTTTGTGAACTGACGATTAGACATGAGAGTTTAGCACTCTTTATTAAAGTAATTGTGAAAATAAAAGCAATCGACTCCACTGATTCAAACTTACCACTTTCATCCAGCTTACTTTAAATCAGGGCTCGTTTTGGCTGCGAAGTAAATATTATTTACTCGTTTCTCAAATTTTCTTACTTATTAAGTTTTGAAGTGGGTTTTTTTAAAGATGGAATTTAATTGATTTCAGTTTGGATCAATCACCAACTGACTTCAGTCAAAGAAACATTGAAAACCAGGGAGTACCTGGGTGGGACTGTTTCGTCTTAGTTTAAGGGATCGATAGCCGAATGGTCAACTAGCTTGCCTTGTGACTTGAAAGTCCTGGAATCGATGGCCCCAGTGGGGTCATTGATGAGTACTTTGAGGAGCCCTGGCCTAGGACGAAACATCTATCCAGTACTCCTTGGTTTCAATGGTTTGCTAACTTTATTAAATTGTTATATTTTATACTATATACTTGTGATAGGGTACGTCAAAGTAACAATTTGGATTGATTTAATCAATAGGCCTGTGGTACATATTATCGTGTATAAGCTGTAAAATATTGATTGAATTATTCAATCACCTGTGTTGTAGAATTATTCTAATTTATTTCAATAAAAGTTGATTTCATGGACATTAGCTGTCAGTTAAATAAGATTTTCACTGAACGATACTACCAAAAAAAGAAGATAAATGCAGAACCAGTTATTTCAATTAATTGAATTATAAATGAATGACATTCTAGTTTCTCATTTCTAGAATCCAAATATTGTTAAATATCTCAATGAAAGTTAGTGAAGAAATCAATAGAAGAAAAAAAGATATTTAATCTCAACCACAGAAGTAATTATTTTCAATGAACTGTTTGATTATACACGTCCTCTGATATATATATATATATATATATATATAAGTCATCTATATAAAATTATCAATAAACTGGTGAACAGTGTCATGTAATCTGTTTTGAAGTATTGATTAAATTTTGTTAGTGGAGTTTACAATCTTTTTATGAAGCATGACGAGTAATCAACTCGGTGGATTTAAGGGATTCGGTAAGAAAATCTTGAACTTGAGCTTTACGATTATTGACTCTTATCAGCAAGCTTTTTATTTGTAACTGTCATAGCTACTACTAATGTGTTCCATCCAAAGCTACTGGAAATGTCTAGCTGCGAAAGTTCAATAATCATGTGACTTGTTTAAGTCCAGGGCAGCCAGCCAGCCAACTGCCTTCAATTAATTCACATGAATTGATTCCTATAACTGTTAATTAATTTAGTTTCTAGAAATCAGTTACATCTTAATTCTGGGGTGCTATTTTAGACTAAAATAAGTATTGATACCAATGGCAACAGGTCTGCATTTCTAAGAATCAGAGTGCAGTAAACTTAATGTTCATTGGCACTATAAAAAGTGAAAGAACGGGGTAGAGACAACAAGATATACTTGCATATTTAAGGTTATATATTCAGTGTATATTAAAAGAAAGTATGATGGTGTTATATTTGTCTACTATACATTTTATTTTCCTTAAGCAAGGGGGATTCTCAATCAGTCCCCAAGTGATAGTGTATGCGAGGTTACTAGCCTCCCAAATTTTGAGTGAGCTCATAAGACTACATATTTGTACAAGCTGAAGTGTATGTAGGTGGCGAATGATTCGGACCTGGGATCCGCTGCCTGGAAGTTGACTGCTCAAGCCAATGAGCCACATCTTTTACGGTGTATAGGATTATCGATTATCGTCTCTCATTAGGACTTTGAAGATCCATATTACCCTTAATATACAATAAGCAGGGATTCCCTGTTTGATATCGACTTTTGATGAAACCAACTTTGATATTATTCGAACCACGACATAAGGAACTCTTGAGTTGCATTCTTTACTAAAAATTTATTTTACTTTCAGTTTGCTTTGGATGATAATGTTTCCTGAAATAAAGAGAGGATTTGTAGCTTAGGTGGATTTTTTTTTGTGATGTTGTATTCTCTGAACTGGATGGTTTAACTGCAGAACTTCCACTGTCCTTCTAGATAATATCTTCAGCACTAACTTTAGTGTGGAATGACATTTAGGAATTGTCTATGGGTGAAACAATCAACTCTCCCGATAACCTCAAATGTGATTGGTCATTTTCAGAGGTTTTGTTATCCTAGTGTTCATTTCCATTGGTATTGGCCATTTTGTTGACCTGGTATTTGACCTTTTTGCCATTTAACTTTTACTCGATTGTTTGACAGATTTGCTCTGTGTTAACATGACTTTTAAGTACAGATTGATCAGAGTACCAGGATTCTAGAAATTCTCATACAATTTTAATAATCCCGCTGTTTCAAATATCTACATCTTCCAAGTTAAATTAATCTCTGTAGTTATCGTCATATATTAATGTGAAGGAATACTTGTTATATCTTTTTGACGGTTAGCTTGTGATCTTGGATACAAAGTCGGGAAACACCGACATCTCACTTCAAATCGAAGTTGATGATGAAAATGTTGTCTAGAAGGACAGTGAAAGGTTCGCAATCAAGTCATTCAGCTTAGAGAAACAAAACCAAGAAGACAACCTTCATTCAAAGGATAAAATCGAAATGATAACATTATTCTAAATGTCCACTTATTTTAGGCACAACTGAATAACTTCCGTCTAATAAAAGCTAGTGACCCCACCCCCTAGAAACTCTCTGCTACTGAAACTTCAGAAGCTTCAATTCTTGTGTTTCACATGGAATGCAAAAAAAGAGAAAAAAACGAAGTTGTTAACTTCTTATTGATTTCAAGTTCACCTTGAAACTGATCATCCCAATCAAAACACATTGAGAACTCATGACCCGTGAGGTTCACCTAATCCCTCTGATATGGATTCAGTTACTTCACGATTGTACTGAATATCACTGATACAATGTTACCAACCGATAGACGTTAAAATCCATTCGATTCCAACCCAGTAGTTGTACGAAAACATGTTTACTCTATAACCACCCTGCAAGACGGTGATGACGATTTCCCAATTAGAACGAAACAGTTGTGTGGTGTTTATGGGTTTTCACTGGCTTTTTAGACTGTGTACTATTACAATACATAGGCCAGGTGACCCCATACGACAAATAGTAGATTTCAGGAATACCCCTGCTTATGAATTATCAAAACACTTAGCTCTAATCATATTATGTCCCATTGGAAATCGTTCAAACTCTAGACTAACTAATTCATATGAGATGAAAAATAAACTAAACGGCATTCAGCTAGAAAATAATGAAACAATGATTAGTTTTTATATGATTAGTCTTTATACTAACACATCAATCAATATGGCCTTAGAAGCAGTTAAAAAAGGACTAACTGCAGATCCTGGACTCACTCATAGGACAAAGCTGTCCATTGAGGAAATTACTTTAGGAATTCAGTTATGCCTCATATCTACTATCTTTAAATTCCAAGGCAAAATATATAGACAAACGAAGGTGTAGCGATGGGATCACCAATATTCCCTATTGTAGCAGACATATTTATGGACAGCTGGGCAAATATTGCTCTTAATACATTTTAATTCTACTCCAAAAATATGGTGGAGATATGTGGATGACACTTTCATGTTGTTAAACACAGAACATATCTCTAGCTTCTTGACACGTATAAACTCACAAGTAGGGGGAATAAAACTCACATTTGAATCGGAAAATGAACAAAGAGAATTAGCTTTTTTTATTGTAAAATAAAACGAACAAAAGAAGATAAACTGCACACTAGTGTTTCTAAAAAAAACCAACGCATTCTAATAGATATTTAGACTTTAATTCGTCTCATCCGTTATCTGTTAAGGCAGGCTTAGTTAAGTGTTTAACAAACCGAGCAGTAGCACTAAGTAGCACAAAAAGACCTAAATGACGAAATCAACAAATAGAAGAAGCATTGGTGTTGAATAACTATCCTTTAAAATTCATTAGGAAGATAGAAAAAGGCCAAAATCAAAATAATTGCGAAACTAGTAATAATAACATAAATAAGAGAGAATATAAGTCATCCACTGTTATACCATATAAAGAGGGACATCTGAATCCCTACGTAGGATTCTTAATAAAGTAGGAGTCAGGGTGACACTTAAACCTACAAATCACTCAAGGACAAGCTCTATAGGTTAAAGGACCCTGTTGGCCCAATTAGATAAAATAATATTATTTACAAAATACCCTGCAATGACTGTGAGGTCACTACATAGGTCAAATTAGTAGCTTAGGGGTAGTCAGATTGTCGGAACATAAGAATTTAGCCAACGTAAGAATGGTTGACCCCGAGAAGATAAGTAATTTAGAAAAAAGCTCAGCAATTGCACTGCATGCATTAACACACAACCACACAATAAGGTGGGAGAGGGTTAAAATTCTAAGAGGTAATATAGTTAGGTAGAGAGAGAGGTTGATTACTGAATCCTTGTTCATCGAGTCTACACCCAGCACATGCAATAGGAATGGCTCACCACTTATACCAGAAATACTACTACCCATCAAGTCAAGCGATGAAAAATAATGGAATTATATAAACAAAGTTAGAAAGTTGTGTGAGTAGCTTGATATGATTATGATCGGCAATAAATTGTACTCGAAACTTCATCAGTAAATATAACTGTA